AACCGTTGAAGTTCATCACTAACAAATTTTGTCTGCTTTAACCCATTATGTACTGTCGTTAGTTTCTGTAACACCTAAATTCTTCGAAACTAGATATTGTCCTTTTCTGGGTTTTCTCTCAAAGTTCTAAAAATGGTATTATAGTCAGACACTGGGCGGTGTGTTAACGAGGATGCTGGCCCCAATAGGGGTGAATTGTGAGATCCCACATCGATGGGAGAAGATAACGAAACATTACTTATAACGGTGTGGAACTAGCCCTAACAGGGGTGGATTGTGAGATATCACATCGGTGGGAGAAGAAAACCAAACATTGCCGATAAGGGTGTGGAAACCTCTCCCTACCAGACACCTCTCTATTCGATATGAGATCTTATACCAATAGCCCTATATTTTTAAGGTGTTATCGTAAATGATTTGGGGTGTATTAGGGAAGAAAGATTAGCATTAATTAGCTAATTAAGGGACATAAGCACATAGATTTGATTGGAGTTTAGCTAAATAATGGAAGGATTAGGTGAGGGTACCCAATTAGGGTATGTGGCTATTAATCATTCCCCAGTTGACACTGTCAAAGATTACACTGCCACTTTTATGATTCAGTTTATGAACATCAAATTTGATCGTCACATCCTGTCTGATTTTTATGTTCCCCTAAATTAACATAAATCATATTTCTTTGATTTCATCGCTCTATATTTTTTAAAAATATTTATAAATTATTATTTATTTATTTAATAAAATTAAAAAGAACTAGGGTTTACCCGAGTTAGGTTGGGTTAAGTTAAAAAAAAACTTTTGAACCAACTCGAAATTTCAGGTTGGTCGGCTTGATGAGCCGAACATTTCGAATAGAGTTCACAACTCGACCCATTGAGTTTTTCCTTTTTTAATTATATTAAAAAATCATACTTATTCACACCACACATTACATTAATAATTAAAAAATTTCATAAAAAGGTTACTTGACTAAACACATTTAAAATTTTAATTTTTTAAAAATATAATTAAATTTTTGTTAAGTCAGTTATATTTAAATCGTGATCGATTAATATATCTTATATTTATTCATTGAATTTTGGCATACTCGACTATTTTTTAAAAGTATCGTATATCGAAATTGAAAAGAAGAAAAACAAAGACAGTCCAGCTAAAGAACGGTCGGAATTGTCGGTAAAAATGTCGAAATTTCAAATGTATGTAAATATTGATAAAAATATTAAAGAAAAATGTCGAGATTTCAAATTTATGTAAATATTGATAAAAATATTAAAGAAAATGTCGAGATTTCAAATTTATGTAAATACTGATAAAAATATTGAAAAAATGTTGATGTGAGTAAATAATTCTCAAAATTCATAAAAATGGTAAAAATATTTAAATTAATAATTAGTATTTCAATTTTTTAAAATAAATTAAAATTTCTTGATATTAATATTGAATTTATGAACGTGAGAAAATATGCATGATTTTCTTTTTCAAGATCTCGAGGGTGGAATTGGGATTTCACATCCATTTATTATATTAATGGGGCTGTCCGGTGAAATGACATGGTTGTTCCCTAAGTGTTTGATGGATTTTGGATTTTCTTTTAAAATAAAACCTACTTTTGTAACTAACAAAATTTTATATTTAAATAGTCGATTGAATGTGAAAATACTTTATTTAAATTTTCATAAAACATAATATTCAGCTTAAAACACAACTATGGACTTACGTGTTTTGAAGACACTCTTAAAACCACACAACAAAAGACTAAATAAAATAAATAAATAAATATTTAAATTAAAAATATCATATTCTAACCTAAGACTAAGGAAATAAATGCGGCTACCATATACATGTGTCACAGTCTCAAGTTGCAATGTTGTCAACTGTATAGGAATGTCTTGAGTTAACCTGAAATAGAGATAGCATATGACTGAGTATTTTAAGAAATACTCCGTAAGTAACCCTCACTAGTGGGGTTTTAAATACAAGAACATGTAAACGCAATGACGAAACCTATCATATCACTCTTCTTTTCTTACTGTACTATCTTAATGGGCTGGTTAGATATAGTCTATGAAATAATTAATTAATGAGGACGTAATGGATGGCTAAATTTAATTAGCCATTTTAATAATTAATTATAGATGATATGAATAGACTAAAATACCCCCGTATAACAAAATGGTAAAATATAAGACTAGAATGTCTTCAACCATAAGCTTCCAATACTTTATGATAATTAGAGAATGAAGGACTGCATTGATATGACTAAACCCGAACAAATATAATGCTTAAATAAATAATACAACATTCAATTTGCGATCAGAATCACTTGTAATGTTCGACCCATTATAGATTGAGTGTTGAAGATTACAGTAGAATATTAAAATTTAAATATATACATAAGAAATAGAAGAAAACCTGCCGAAAATTCAATGAGTCCGGCCGCGAGGTGAAGGAAGTAAAAAGGAAGAGTGTGTCGAAATTTTATTGATCCACGAGAAATTAACGTTGTATTTTTTTTATTAAAAAAAGGAAAAAGAAAAAGATGAGCATCATATATGTTTTAAAAGAATCGACAAGAAGCATCCCTTAAATTCTTGACGCTGAAATCTGTTTTGGAGATGGAGATTAATATTTTAATAAAGTGATTAAGGCATCGGTTTAGTATTTGTTTAAGACATCACTTATGAAAATTGTACTTTACCTAATGGATGTCTAATCACAATCTGTTTCTTAATTAATTTCATTAACTAAATTCTTTTTACTCATTAGTTTTTTTCTTTTTTTTTTTCATAACCGGAATAATTTGGATTATAAAAATTAGATTGAATTAAAAAAAAAAAAAATCAATTTGATTTGGGTTGACTTTTTAAAAAAAGTCAAAGTTCCATTTGGTATATAAGTTGACATTTTTTTGTTTAGTCAACCCAACTAACTCAAAAATAGGCTTACGTACATCCAACTAACTTAAAATAGGGTTATAGTTCAACCTGTTAGACGAACAGGACTCTCCACACTCCACAATGGTGTGCTCTCATTAACCGATGTGGGACTTTCATCATCCAACACCTCCCCTCGATCAAAGCACGCCTCCCCTTAATCGAGGCTCGACTCCTTTGGAGTCTTAGTCATTTTTGACTGCCTTCGTACCTTCGAGGAGGCTTGACTCCTTTTGGAGTCCTTTTGTTCGACATTTAAGAATTTGTCAATCTATTGACACGGCTAAGTTTAGGGCATGGCTCTGACACGGCTAAGTTTAGGGCATGGCTCTGATACCATGTTAGACGAACACGACTCTCCACAATGGTATGATATTGTCCACTTTGAGCATAAGCTCTCATGGCTTTGCTTTGGGCTTCCCAAAAGGCCTCATACCAATGGAGAGTGTATTCTTAGATTATAAACCCATGACCATTCCCTAAATTAACCGATGTGAGACTTTCATCATCCAACACAACCCATCCTACCCCTGTTGAGAATGTTTGTTTATAATCAAATAAATTATTAAGGATATGAAGATAGTAATAAATTGAAAGATGTTTATAGTAATAAAGCAAATATCTTTAATAAAATATCTATATATAGTAAACTATAATAGGGTTACAGTCTAACCCACCCGACACTACTTAAAAAAATTTAAAAATATTTAACGTTTGAAACTGATGCAACAGATGAATTGTAGCTTATAAATATTTGATATTAATATATATTATAGATAAATATGATTTTTTAAATAATTAAAAACTAACTACTCAACAACCCAACCCAACCCAACTCAAAAAATAGATCACCAATCCAATCGTCCCAAAATTTTAATCCAAAAACCTAACAAAATCTGATATTTTGAACCAATTAATAAAATTAAACAAAATCCACAGAAAGCATGTCTGATGGGCCTGTTCATTTGAAAAGATAAGTCTCCCATCCATTTTGGGCCTATGAGAAAAAAGCCCATTAGGATATTTATGGTAAAAATAAAATTATTACAAAACTATTTTTCATAATTAAATATTTATACACAGTCTTATTAGCCCATTGGGCCGAGGTTCCACCTTAAAAGAAGCAGCCCTAAAAACATCTTTAAATTTTTAAAAGTATTTTTTAAAATACTGTTGAATTTTAATTTTTTGTACTAATATTCTTAAACTTAATAAATATATATATATATATATATATGTTTAAAAATATCTATACAATTTTAAAACGTTTGAAAATATTATTACATTTAATATATTGACAGAAACCGTCGATTTATACCTTTGTAATGTTCCACATTAGTTGGAGAGGAGAACAAAACACCCGAGTGGAAAATTTCTTTTTAAATTAGAAAAAGAAAAAATAAATAAATAAATAAAAGAAAAAAAGAAAAAAGACAAGAGAGATTTGAACTTACTAATAGTAGCTCCTAAGATCAACTTTTCCCAAGAAAAAGTGAGGGGTGGACCCCACCTATTTTTCGACCAAAAAAGTTTATTTTTAACCTACTAAAAAAATTATTAAAAAAAAAACTTTTTATTTATTTTTAAATTATTTTTCTAACTTTTCAAAATATTTATCATTGCTAAATTTAGTGGAACTTTTAATTAATTAACTTGTAAGACAAAATGATTACGTTTGAAGTAATCAAATAAAAAAAAATTAAATGGGAATCTAATTATATAAATTTCTTTACCATTTCTAATAAAATTTTAAAATTTTTAATTAAATTAATAAATTTTAAAAACTTATATAAAAACAAAATTCTAAGATTAATTCATTAAAAGTTTTAAGATGTAATGGGATGAATTAGGTTAAATAATAATAATAATAATAATGATGATGATGATGAAGAAAAAGTGAAAAAAAGAATATTATTTACACACACGTTGCTGAAATAGCTAAAAATGGAAAAAGGACCCCAAATGTTTGTAGTAATTAATAATCGGACCCACATTTTTTGGCCTTTAATGAATTTACCCCATCCAGAAAATGCTTCACAATCATCACACACTGGTTTTTGCCCTTTCCCCCTCCATTATTAGTTTACCGTTTTCTCTCACTCTCTTCAGTTACTCAATCACCATTTTCCCTCTGCGTGTAACAGACGAGCGCCATAGCTACACCAGCCACAAGCTTCTTCTTCAGAGCTCTAATGGCTGCTGTGAGTTCACAGCCCTTTTGTTCTTTCCTTTTTACAAGTCTATTTTGACAATCATAACTTCGCTGTTGTTCCTGCTTTTTTAGATGCTTTTTAATCCTACCCTTTACTTTGTTTGAATTCATTTCAATTTGACGCCACAGAGAAATCATTGCACTTTTTTTCTCTCTTACCCACAAGCTTTTTCGCCCTGCAATGGATTTTTGAATCTTTGTTCTTGTTTGTATGAGGGTTCTCTCTCGTGGTGTTTGGTTTAGATCTTGAGCTAATATACGCCTTGCTTTCCTGCTTTTGCTCTGTTTTCTAGGAAAATTGTATTTTATTTCCCCCTTTTCTCGTTTCTTGTAATCTGGGGTTCCTTCAAACTCCAGCAAAGCCAATGCTTAAACAAGGGACCGAGTAAAGAACAAAAAGAAGCTCGGTTTGTGAGATGTTATTTCAAAAATTCAAACCCTGCGAGTTTCTACTTTTCTCGACAATGACTTTGGAATCTGGTTTTCCATTTCTATTCCCTTCTCCCTTTTTATATTGATTTCAAATTTGTCAATCTAACCTGTTTTTCTCTTCTTTTTCTCTTCCTCTCATCTGGGTTCATTACAGTTTAAACGATAGACGCCTGTAGAAACCTCTGGTTCTGTGTTCTACAGACCTCTAATGGAAGCTCTGTGGATTATCAGCTTCGTTTTGGTTCTGGGGTTGGTTTTTTCCCCAAGTAATGGCGACCCAGTTCAAGATAAGCGAGCTTTGCTTGATTTTGTCAAGAAGCTTCCTCACTCTCGCTCTCTTAATTGGAATGTGACTTCTCCGGTTTGCCATTACTGGACTGGTATAACTTGCAGTGATGATGAATCTCGTGTTATAGCCGTTCGATTGCCCGGAGTTGGCTTCCACGGCCCGATTCCGGCGAACACTCTCAGCCGGCTCACGGGGCTGCAAATTTTGAGTCTCAGATCCAATCGTATAACAGGGGATTTCCCTTCGGATTTCTCTAATCTTAGTAACTTGTCTTATCTTTATCTTCAGTTCAATAACTTCTCTGGGCCATTGCCTTCAAACTTCTCTGTCTGGAAGAATCTCACCTTTGTGAACCTCTCTAACAATGGCTTCAATGGCAGCATACCCTTTTCACTTTCTAATATGACAGAGCTTACTGGTTTGAATTTGGCAAACAACTCTCTCTCAGGGGAAATCCCTGACCTCCAAATGCCCAAATTGCAGATTCTGAATTTATCCAACAACAATTTGAGTGGGAGTTTGCCTAAATCTTTACAGAGATTTCCAAGTTCTTCATTTCTAGGCAATAACATATCCTTCGAAAGTTCTTCACTGAACAATCCTCCCGTGCCACCGACGTTGCTCGTGTCGAATGATAAGCCGAAGAATTCTAAAGGGCTTAGAGAAGCAGCATTGTTAGGAATCATAATTGCTGGCGGTCTTTTGGGGCTTCTGGCTTTTGGCTTTCTAATACTTGTTTGCTTCTCGAGAAGGAAGAGTGAGGACGACGAGTATTCTGGGGATCGGCAGAAAGGTCGAATGTCGCCGGAGAAGGTGATATCAAGGACTCAAGATGCAAATAACAGATTGGTTTTCTTTGAGGGCTGCCATTATGCTTTTGATTTGGAGGATTTATTGAGGGCTTCTGCTGAGGTTTTGGGGAAGGGAACTTTTGGGACTGCTTATAAAGCAATTCTGGAGGATGCTACTACTGTTGTTGTTAAGAGGTTGAAGGATGTTAACGCCGGGAAGCGCGATTTCGAGCAGCAAATGGAGATTGTTGGCGGTATCAGGCATGAGAATGTGGTTGAGTTGAAGGCTTACTATTATTCCAAAGATGAGAAGCTGATGGTTTATGATTTCTTTACTCAGGGAAGCGTCTCGGCTATGTTGCACGGTATGTTACTATCTCGACTATGCACCTCGTATGAACTGCTGATGATTGTAGTTTCATTGTTTATGCTCTCTACTGAAGATTATAACTAAAGTTTCAATCCTTTCTTGCATACTCTATTTTGGTTGAATTAGTAGAGTTTTATGTGTTTTTGGGATGATTTCTGTCTAGGAGAGAAGAAGTTTTAAGCTGAATGAAGTTCATTTTGAGTCGAGTGTTCATCTTGCTAGTTATGAATAATCCATGTTAGTTCTATATCTGTTCACATGGTTGTTTAGCCCTACTCTGCTGTAACAGCCCAAGTCCACTGTTAGTAAATATTATCCGCTTTGACCTATTACGTATCGTCGTCAGTCTCACGGTTTTAAAACGCGTCTCCTCGTGAGAGGTTTTCAGACCCTTATAAAGAATGTTTCGTTCCCATCTCCAACCAATGTGGAATTTCACAATCTACCCCCTTGGGGCCCATCGTCCTCGTTGGCACACCACCCGGTGTCTGACTCTGATACCATTCGTAATAGCCCAAGCCCACTGCTAACATATATTGTCCGTTTTAGCTCGTTACGTTTCTTATAAGGGTGTGGAAACTTCTCACTAGTAGACTCGTTTTTAAATCTTAAGGGAAAGCCCAAAGAGGCAATATCGGGTAGCGGTGAGATTGGGCTGTTACATCCATGATCGGCTGCTTGGCCGAGAATGATACAATGCCGATAATGACGTCGGGGTTGTAATCTCGGCAATATAACGTCCTATAATCAATTGCTATGAGCACAAATTTATCAACAAAATAGAGGGTCTACTCTCCCACAGCAGGGGAAATCCATCTCTGCAGCTTTCAACATGTTCTTAGTATCTTCGTTTGTTTGTTCCTTTTTCTCCAGGTAAACGTGGAGAGGAAAAGACACCGTTAGATTGGGACAGCAGACTGAGAATTGCAGTAGGTGCAGCACGAGGAATTGCCCGTGTCCATGCCGAAAATGGAGGGAAGCTCGTCCATGGAAATGTAAAATCCTCAAACATCTTTCTGAACTCTCGACAGTACGGATGTGTGTCTGATCTTGGACTAGCAACCATAACAAGCTCGCTCGCTCCACCTATATCCCGTGCTGCTGGTTACCGAGCCCCGGAAGTGACAGACACCCGCAAGGCCACACAGGCATCAGATGTTTTCAGCTTCGGCGTCGTGCTCCTCGAGCTTCTAACCGGAAAGTCCCCGATACATGCCACAGGTGGCGAAGAAATCGTGCACTTGGTTAGATGGGTTCATTCAGTTGTCCGTGAGGAGTGGACAGCTGAGGTATTTGATGTAGAGCTGATGAGGTATCCCAACATAGAGGAAGAAATGGTTGAAATGTTACAAATAGCCTTATCATGTGTGACCAGGATACCAGATCAGAGACCGAAAATGTCGGAAATCGTGACGATGATCGAAAGCGTTCGACCAATGGAAGCAGAGAATCGACGTTCTTCCACCAATTGATCTGAAAGTTCAATGCCACCACCGCCGCCGCAAGCTGTCGTGACAGAGAATTCAACCTCTCATTGAGTTGGAGCTAATTTGTTCATGTAGTGCTTACCTTTCATTAAGTATTTGTAAGCTTTTTCCTATCTAGATTCTAGTTTTGCAACAGTTCATAAAACGAAAGTTGACTTTTTAAAAAAGAGAGAATATGAGATAGAGATGTTGACTCGAAGCTAAAAAGTCAAAAGAATAGTTGTATACAATATTTTTATCGTTATTTTCTTTCTTCCATGTCAATCACGGAACTATTTGAAATAGAATTCTTGCATTCGGGTAAGTATATTTCTTTTCGAAGGTTGTTTGCTCGAAAAATTAATTTTGGTTGTCATAATATTAAATAAAAAATCAAAATTAGTTTTTAGAGAAAAAAAAAACTATAATAAAAATAAGGGAAATCTTTTAATTATGATTTTTTTTTGGAATTATGATGCCATGTGTAATATACAGGTGGCAGCTGTAATTTATCATTATTTCAAAGTGAAATTTAGGGTAAATAATTGAGGGGTTGAAAATAAAAAGTGAAAAGATAACATAATTAATAATTATGATGGATTTTTTTTTTTTTTTTTTTTTTAACTTATTAGGGAAACAATAAATGATTTCGTTTTTATTTGTCAACGAATGGAGGAAAAGTGAAAAGTGAAAAGTGAAAAGTGAAAAGTGAAAGGAAATTATGAAAATATTAACTTTAATATGCTTTAGATATTAATAAAAAAAGTAATTTTATGTTTGTCTCCAGTCAAAATCTAACGAGTACACAGTAAGTAAAACTATTACTAAAATCCTTTATATCCATAATTTGGAATTACGGGCGTCTAAAATACCTTTCACTAAGATCAACGTTGTTGTATGTAAACCTAAAATAATAACGTGATCAACCTAACCGTTCCTGAGGCATATTGTTCTTGTTAACAATACTTAACCATTAAAGGAGGCACCGTTGGCGGGAATTTCGCTCGTACCGACGAATGATATGCAGTTTCTTATTTGAAGATTTAGATCAAGTAAGCGCCCAACGCAGATAAAGCTTGTTCATCTTTCTGGGCAAATGGGGATTCTTCAATTTGTCGTGTGGCAATCTGAGAGTGAATTCTATTCTCGTTTGATAGGTTTGTATTTTATTCTCGTTTCAAAACCCAACCTTAATTTAATAAAAAATTAGGTTAAAAAAAATAATAATCACAAAAATTAGGGACTAAATTGGTAAATAATGAATATTGGTGGGTCCACATGAATTAGACCAATAAGCTAAACGAGTCTACGGAGTACAGTAGAGTGCTCTCACTCTTTTCTTTTTCTCTGTTTTATTTATTTATTTATTATTTTTATATATTTTTTGGAATATATAAAGTGGTTTTGTAAATTATTGCAAATCCTCTCTTCTCTCAGGCAAAACAACAAACACGCAGGAGGATCTCAAGGTGAGCTTTCTATTCCTTTCTTCTCTTCGCTGCTTCTATTTTCTGATATGTTCATTCCTTTGTTTGTTTTTCTTCTTTCTTTGTGATTCTCAACTTCAAACGATCTCCAGAGATTCCACTCTTTTGGATTTTGGTGATGGCTTCGAAGCGGATCTTGAAAGAGCTCAAGGATCTCCAGAAAGATCCTCCTACGTCTTGCAGTGCAGGTTTCTTCTTATTTCTAACATTTTTCTTTATGCTTTTCATGAACTATTTCCTGCCTGATTTGGAGTTGAGGATTGATCTATTTTGTGTGGAAAACTGGAAGGAGCTCTGTTCATTGCTTATGATCTTCCTTCCGATTGTTGCTTTTTTAGCGTAGGATTGACCGTGTTATTTCACGTATTTAGGCTTTAGACATGTTATGACTTGAGAGAGTCTGATCTTTGCTTCTAAACGTCGTTGTCGTTAAACGGCTGTATCTGCTACAAGATCATAGTAACACTCCAATTGTTACTAGCATATGATCCTTGAGCATGTTTGCGACTGTGCTCAGCATAAATTTATAAGTTTGGCATCGTATTTGTATGCACACCGTTGTTGATCTTGTTACCACTTTCCCTGTATATGCTTTAAAGGTTTATAAAATTTAACCTCTTTCGATTTCTAAACATCTATTCAAGAATCACACCGAACACAGAGAAGAAAGAATAAGTGAGATGAATCTTTCTGTATTTCATTGCCAAGTATAATCACATTAGTTCAAGAATATTTATCGACAAAATGACTCTCCAATGATATGACTAATGCATAATCTCTCTCTAACTAGTATGGTCTCACGTTAAACAGTATATTAAGAGCAAGTAAATCAAATAAATCTGTTGAGCTGAATGAGCTATCTTCACACCTAGTATATATAGTTATTTCGATTTAGTCCCTTAACTCTTAAGTTTAGTTTTTATTAGTGATTACATTTAAAATAAATATATTTGCAATCTTGCACTTGATCCACTAACACATCAATTGAATGAACAAAACACGTCTGTGACTTTGTTATGCCTTTGTTTAATAATAGAGAAAAAAATGAATGCAAAGACTGAACTAATTTTTAGTACAAAGACTAAACTAGAAGGTTTGAAACATGCATGAAAGTTCATGACATTGACATGTTCCGAATGGAAATAGAACGGAACTGCCAATGATAATCAAAGCTTTATGTTATCAAATGTTTATTCAGCCTTGATTTTGACCATATAAGTCCGGAGTTGTGATGTATCTGCAATCAAAATATCTCAGTAGTTAAATTTGCTCATCAAGGATTCTGCATCGAACTTTTTTTTTAATCATAAATTTCAATTTAATGATTGTTCTTCCTGTGAGAGTTGAAAAGTTCGATCTCAAGCTTTTAGCCAGCCTCCAAAATTTCTTACTGGGAATAAGAACCAACTTTAATCTTACTGATAATAATTCTTTACACCATGATATTCTTCATATGTGGAATGCCAGTAAAATTTATGCTTCTTCATCTTCTTTCCTTGATGAATTTACGTTGGGAACAAGTGTCCCCGTTCGATTATTTTTCTATTGTACCTCAGTTGACATAACTAATGGTTATAGCACTATTATGTTCACGTGATTTTAATTGTCTGTTCAATGAAAAATTTTAGGCCCAGTAGCTGAAGACATGTTCCATTGGCAAGCAACAATAATGGGTCCTCCTGACAGTCCATATGCAGGAGGAGTGTTTCTTGTCAACATTCATTTCCCTCCAGATTATCCATTTAAACCACCCAAGGTACTTAGAATTGATATGCTCCATTTACCTGGCATCTTTTTCTACACTTCTGTATACCTCAGTTTTTTTACAAGGAAACAAACATTTAATTATTATAGTGAGAAGTTACAAGTTACAAAACTCTTTAGGAAGGGTACAAACATGTCCTACCCAACTGAAAATTACAAGAAAACCCAAAAACTTGACATAAAATGCCACTAAAAGAAGTTACAAAACTTTGCTAAAATATTTTCCTTACTCGACTCTTAAAAATGCCTACTAAAAAGAATTAAGATCCTCTTTGAGACCCAAAACATTTATATAAAAGTTAGGAGTATCCCTCTAAGAAACTAAAAATTCTAAATATCCATCCTTTAGCGTTGTTTATTTTTATATCCGTGAGTACCTAGCCAGCTTGAGACAACCATCTTGATCCTCCTAAACAACCATCTTGACCCATCTAGTGCATCCTTTTCGTCTTGTCTCCCCTTGGCTTTGTTCTTCTTATCACTTGGAATTGGTGATGAAATAACCTCTAGTTTCTTCAAGTAATCTAGAAGATCAACACACGAAGAGTCAGTGTAATTGGTGATAAAATGGCCTCTGGTTTCTTCAAATAATCTGAAAAACCAACCCACGAAGAATTTTTTTCGACTGCTACTGAAACCTAACTCCACCAAATTCAGAAGAGGAGAAAAACCCATGCTCTCCCCAAGATTTTCTTTGCATTATCCTCAAAACCAGCAGCCTCTTTTGCGGGAGGAATTTCCAAGTTTTCTTTTTCCAAATCTTCACTTTGGAATAAAAATCTGAGCGTTCCATTAATGCTAAAAAAACTTCCCATTCTTTTCCACTTCTGTCTCTATGCAAATCTCGTCTTCAACTTTGAACTCCCTAATACTTATCTATATGCTTCAATATATTTGAACGGCTTTTACATGATCTTTTTGACACAAATTGCCAACTCTTTAGGTGTTTCAGAGAAATTTCTTACTGCGCCATTTTGAAAAAATCATTTTACGTAATATAGTTTCACCATGTACTTTAAATGAAGAAGAAAGAGAAAAGAGCGTCTCCATTGGAGATCTCTTTGAAATGCATACTCTTTGGCATCAGCTGATTGCAAGAGAATTTGTTAATGATCGTTTGCGGTGATTAATTGCCCTAAGTTCCTAAAAAGTATGAAAAGTCCCTGTTTCTCCATAGCTATATGAAAGGACTTGGCTTGGCGGATAAATGAATTTTCTTTCCAATGGTGGTGGAGAGATGTTAAACTCTGGGACTACCCTGTGGCCATTGGAATCTTTCCTACAATATTATTTCTGAGGGTTAAAGTTGGAAAAATAGGCTATCCAATGTCCGACCAAACTTTCAAGACGATAGAGTGAGGGGAGCTGGAAAGTTCAGGGTTATTTTCCTGTAAATTCCTGCATTCCTATCTCATTTCTAAAGAGGTGCTGGAAAATCTGTTCACTAAGTTGTTTGGAACCTTTAATACAACAAACACGAACCAGAGAAGTTAAATCTTATCTCCCCTCTCATTGTTGCATCCTTTGGAGGCAAAGCGTGGCAATGCAAGACCACCTGTTGATCCTCTGCACCTTTGGCTCTTTATTTCGGAGTGAACTGTTTTGGCTGTTTGGCGTCATTTGGGTGGTCTCCAGAACGCCCATGGAGTTCCATGTGCAGCCAATGTAGAGTTTAGCTATTTCAAAATAAAAAGCTCAAGTTATTTTAGGGGTTATATGGCTAAGTTTATAGCTATTCAGTTGGAAAGGAGTCCTTGCATCTTGAAGGACAGTAGTATACATTTGAAGTCATTGAGATCTTATTAGATTCTGAGCCACTTATTCAAATTATCTTGTAACTATAACCAACGTTTTGGCTTTGGTTTGGTTGGTACGTTGTCTTCCTAATTCCCTTTGTAATCAATCTTTTTAAATGAAGAGTTTTCTTGTAAAAAAAAAATGGACAGTTTGGAGCTAAAATTACCGAGATGTAAAACCATCAACTCACCGACTACACTGTTCTCAATGTGCATCACCATTTACCTTTTTTTCTTTTTACGGTGATGAATAATTTGATTTCCCT